ATCTCGACAAATTTCGATCCAATTTCACGAGACACGTTATATATGTCATAAAGCATTCTCTTTACATAAACTATCTAACATAGAACAAAAACATCTTTCGTAACAGACATTATTTATGGTTAAACGTTTACATTCTCTACCACACTCCTACATCACCCCGATTGGTATTCGAAAAGTTTCTCTATCGTTGTTTCACATCGATCCGCCGTCACATTTTCTGAATTACTTTAAGTGTCGATAAATAATATTGTAAGAAAATATCGATCGAGATTTCTCTTCCTTAATTTTTTTTTTATCCAGTTTAATTTTACAATTTTATGATTCGCCGTAACGGAAAATTTGTTAAAAAATGCAAAAAAAATTGTGATCAGATGAGATAAACGATATTTGAAATGAAATAATTAAGAAAAATGTAATATAGACAAATTATTTCGACGTTATCTGTATTAACGTCCTTACGTATTATATACTTTTACGTCACGTTTCATTTTCTTTCGTAATACCAACCGACTTGACACTGTTCTACCAACTTCTTCTTCTTCTACTTCGTGCGCGAACGCACGTCATCATCTCTTTTTTTTTAACTACATATTTTCTATCTCTTCCTTTTTTTTTTACTTTTTCCTTTCCATTCCTCTCTTTTTATAGCATTCTTATTATGCATCTAGGTAAAAGAATATAATGTTATTCTCAAAAGCACTTTTCAGACACAACTAGACACGAAGATAACCACAAGATGCATTCAAGATAGTACGCCTATGTTACAAACGCGAACATAACTTCAGCTATCTTTATCTTTATATTTTACTTTGATATTATTTGAAATTCAGTCAAAAGAGAGAGATAGAAGATTTTCTTATTCATTGATATTTGCAAAGCGAATTTCATTTTTTCCTTTTTCCAAACGTTGTCCATAGGTTTTTCTTTCTCGTTGAAAATAATCTAAAAGATATCAGAGAACACACAAATAATACACTTATACATACCTATGTGTTAATTTGTTTTAGTTTTCACGTCATCGCTCAGGAAACATTCTTTCCCTTTTTCTTTAAGGGATATAAGATCGTCGAAAAAAGTTGATCACTCGTCATGTCTCGTGAACAAGAGATTTTTGTCTTTTGTAATATATACAGTAGGATCTGTAGGGAGTCACTGAGGTAAAAGATAATGCACGTTTCATCTTGAAATTTCCGAGATTTCTCCTTTACGTTTCCTCAGTTTTGGTGTCATCAACTTTAGACGATTTCAATTTGTACCAGTGCATTACACGCATGACATAACTTCAAAGTGCAAACATATAAAGTCATTGGACCGTGTTCCTTTAAAGGATCATATGAAAAAACGTTTCATAAAAATTTTCGGTTTTTTTTTTCGAAAGGATTACTTTTTGTCATATCGATTTCAACGAAATCCTTCATTTTAATTTTTTTATATTTGAACGTAATATATTTTATAATAATCGTTTAATAAAAACAATCCATTAAGAAAAAAATAGTGAAGCTTAAATTCAGAGTAGACGTATAAAGAGTCATAGTAAATAACAAAGTGAAATTAAATAAAACAGGTTTATGAGTTGACATTTCCTTCGAAGTCAATAAAATTTGAAGTTACTTCAACGGGAGGGAAGTTACTTAGCCTTCTTATTCACGCAACATCGTACACGAAGTCTTAACGATGTGTACTGTCTTGAAACATCTAAACCGACAATTTCTATTTCTCTTTTATCTTTCTTTTTTTCTTATACAACTCTTTGAGTAGAAAGTTTATGTGTTCCTATAAAACAAACTTTCAGTACATTATATATAGTTATACAACTAATATTACAAAAAATATTCATACAATCCATATGCCATTTGGCAAAGTAAGTTTCAGCATGAATTCAGTTGTAATGTGTGGATGGGCATGTACAATAATATGTTGACCAATTCCTCTAATTTTTTACCTCACCGATTAAATAGATCATCATTTTTACGATTTTTATCACATGATTTACAATCATTATTACAAGAAGTACTACTAGTGTTAGTATTACTATGGTGGTTGCAGTTAGATAGTTGTCAAACATATTGTACAAGACCAGTAAAAAATTTAGGTAAATGAACATTATTTTCAAAGGAGGATTGGACTAGGCGGAACATTATAATCGTAAAGTGATAAAAAAGAAATGGGTCATTCTGTTTAACCACTTCGCAACCGCGAACGAGATATCTTGCTACTAAATGTGATTCATGAGGACTAAATATTTCTCGTAGCTCTTTTAAATATTATTATCAGTTGTTCCGAAGGAATGCATTTATGCGTTTATTAATATAATAACAAGAGATATAATAAGAACAAGATGGATTGTCAATTTGAAGAACGTTTAGTGATTAATATCATTTTTATTACTTTCTTATTCTAGGATATAAAAATACGTGAAAATAGGAAGAAGACTTGAGAATGATCTCGAACGGAGCTTATGGTATATCAACATACCTATTATAATAGGTTAATAGAGCAGAACTTTTCGTCTTGATGCGTTCGCGAATTAATGAGCAGTCGAGGACGGAATCGATCGTTCGTTACGAAACAATATTATGCGAGAACACGTTCAACAGGAGAAGATTTTTTTACATAATTGTTGCGTATGTATATGTGTGTTTGTGTGTGTATGTACGTATATATACATATATCTATATAATACATAGTTAAATCTGATCAAAAAACGGATTAATTTTGATTCTAGTAGTAATTATTTATAGTCACTCAACTGGTTTTAATAATATGCATAATTAGTATAACTACCGTGACTAATGCTAATTGAAAAATGTGAAATGTTAATAACGTACGTGTCCTGTGGTCCATCTTAACAATGATCTCTCGTATTTGAGTGACGTTCTTCAAGGGATTACTGAGAATCCGCTAGAAACGTCTACTAAATTGAAAGATTAATTTTAATCGCGGTATCGCGAAACCTCCATTTCCGCTTTTCCCTTGACTTCGCGCGTATATGCGAATTGTGGCAGACGAGCAGTTTATTATTACTTTTAATTGTAACCGTTTACCTCTGTTTTCTTCTTCATCCTCATTCTGTCTGTCTGTCTTTCTCTCCCAAGCATCATTGTTTCCAGACAATTAAATTCACGGTAGAGAAAATTTCCCGTTCCGTCCCAAAAGGTATTTTATATTTTATAATAAATTCGTACCACCACGTGAAATTTTATAAACGAAATTTATATAACATGTATTACATTAAGTGTACCGGAAATCTTTATGTTTTTTATTCTAAAAATTTTAATAAAAATCATTTAAATAAGTAAGTTTATTAAATTAATGGCACAAAACGCCGCGTCATTTAAAAAAAAAAGATCTTTTCTTATCTATCAATTGAGAAAAAGTTTATCTGATATAATCTTTTTGTATGGTCTTAAATTTTCTTTAAAAAACGATTCTTTATTTTTATTATTAATATTGAAACTTTATTTAAAGTTTTTAATGAAGCAAGAAACTTTAATTATTTTTGCCAAATCTTAGACAAAATTTTGTTTAGTTCCTTATTAAGTTCTGACGGAAGCAATCTTATGTTAGAGAAAAATAACCTGTAAAGCAATCAACAAGACTTTGAACGAGTGGAAAAGAGACAAAGAAAAAAGACGATGTAAAAAAGTTAGAAAAACTGGATTGGAATGAACGAAAAAAGAAAAAAAGATAATGAAGGATGAGAAGAGATAGCGAGGATAGTATCTTAAACAAGTTTTTGCATTTTTCTAAACGATCGAGCTCAGCTAAGAGACAAATAATTTTTTGTTTACATTTCGTATAAAATATCATATACAATTCAGAATATACGAATGCATGACGTGTTATTTCAATAAATAAAATGACAAAATAATTGCGTTAAATCTTAAAATGAGCCATTAGTCATTCTCTCTCTCTCTCTCTCATGACGTGAGAATATATTATTAATATATTTAAAAAAAGAACCTTATATAATGTATATGTATACATCTATTACGCTTACTTTCATTCATATTACATTTCAGACGACTTTCCTGTAAAAGATAGCGCATATACGTATATTTACGTATGCAAACGGGAAGACTACGACATAAATATCCTTTTGCCTTTTCGTCACCTTTTTCTATTTTTTGCTTCAGTTACTTATTTCTTTTTCTTGCCGCCTCTATTCACTTTTCCTCACCACTTTTCCTCACCACTTTATCCTTCTTTCCTTTCATCTCCTTTCTCTTACATTTTCAGTAATAGAATAAAGTGATCGTAAATATGTAAACTTCTTGCAAGCCGTGCACATGCAAACGAAGATATCTCAGCCATGAGGTGATCTCTTGAAATTGTAAAAATATGCGAGAGACGCGATAGCCAATTTTAAGTTACCCTTTAAATTGAGCACGAATTTCGATTTTCGATTTCCTTTTTACGATGTAGTATTTATGCAATGTAATTTTTATGTACATACAGAAGTACTTATTTACTATAATCAATGAACACACGTCGAATTTTCGTTTCCAAAACAATCGAAATTAGAAATTAATTGGCAACAATCCGCTGGTTATTTTGCACAAGTTACTTTTAAATAGATCCTAGCATTTGCAATTCTAATAATTGCAATTCGAATAAACAATATATCTTTTTTATTTAGGTCAACAAAAGATTTTACGTGTAATATACTTGTCTTGGATTCTCATGAAAAACAAATGTTACGTGGAATATCGGAGCCAATAGTTCGAACTCGTTAGAATAACGAGTGTACAAAACGAACAGAAATAGGATCAGAGATTTAAAATAAATATATAGGAGAGTAAGGAAGAATAAATGAAAAATAAAAATAAAAGGAAAGAAATTTAACGGGAATGAAAAATAATTCGATATACAATTGAACGGGGTGGGAGGAGGGTGGGGGGTATTGTCGGAGAGTGGGGAGGGGACATATAATTATAAATGCATTAACACGTTATAGAATTATTTGACGTTGTTAACTTTTGATATGCTTTTTTTTTTAGAAATCTTGACGATGTCCGGAAAGTTACGGACCGTTGAACAGAAATCGTTGTCAATGGATCGTGGATGAGCATCATGGCGAATCAAACGGCTGATTACCATGGTGACGTTTATCAATGGAATCGAACGGTGCCGACGGATGAACACGATACGCAAATGGAATATTATCTGCCCAATTGGACCGATCTCGTATTGGCTGCCCTGTTCTGCATGCTGATCGTCGTCACTATAGTAAGCTAGTCTCTAATGTATTTGCCACCATACTACTCTCCACCTCTTATCCACACCTCCTCTACTTATCTTCGGCGTAGTTGTCTTCAACGAATATCGATAAATCGATTGAATATATATATCGATATTTCGTGTGAAAATTCTCTCCTCTCGCGTAGGACGACAACTCGTCGGGGTTCTCCTCCCTTCCAGCTATCGACGAATGAGAATAATCGAAGAATTTAAATAGCTGGCTTTATAGGTGATATCGTACAAGATAACCTCTCGCTGGGTCTATTTTATCGGAAACGTTCGTAACAACGATAAAACATTGTTTTTCCTCTATCTCGTTGTCTTTTTAATGCCTCATTTTATTTCTCTTCTTTCTCTTTTTAAAACACTTTCTCTTATCTATCAACAAATCGATGATATTTTTGATTTATTCTTTTGAAATATTTGTCATTACGTTGATAATAAGAAATAGATCAAAAAATATATTCCTTTTCAAACATTTTTATAGGAATCAGTGTTTAGAGAAATGATTGTGACGTTGTAATTAATTTTATTAAATAAAATGACAAATTTAAAAATAACAACGGTCCAATTTGCATCGTACTTTGTTATTAACTACTCTTCTCTCTTTTCGGATCCTGTAGTGCATTTTTAATTCGCTTATTGTTAATCATTTATTTAAATCTCTCATGCGTTCATTTGGACACGCGTATTTCTATGTCATGTGCTTCGCGATAACGTTTTAAATGCTAGAAACAGACGATAATCAAACAAACGAGGACTATTTTTTCATCACGATAAACGATAACTCCTTTATTTCCAACTATCTTACACTTTTTACTTGTAAAATAATCTACCCTTTTTTTTTTGTTTCATATTTTTAATAATTACACAAAAATATTCAAGCACAAAAAATAATATATCCTCCGAGTGCTTTCTTACGTTCATTAATTATTTTCTTCTTTACCTTCTAAAAAAAAAAAAAAACAAAAAAAAAAAAAAACGTGAAAGTCTTTAAAGCTTTTTATCTCGCTTTTCTCTTTCATTTTCTTCTACATTTCTTTTCCTGTTTCTTTCTATTTCTTTTTTTTTTCTTCTACTTTTTCTTCCTTTCGGGCGTTAAAAACCGACAAAATAATTCAAAAGCTTCTGCCCGGTTTCAAAAATTCTTTAGCTGGTGTACGAAATACCAATCTAATCTTCCTCTATATCTTAATCCAACCATGTAGATATTATATAATCCTTCTTCGTCTAAATCATCTTCCTTTTTTTTATTTTTCTTTCTTTCTTTCTTCCTTTCTTTTCGCCCTTAAGAAATTTGTTTCCGCTTAAACGGTATTCTATATGTATTTCTATTCTAGGTTGGCAACACACTGGTGATCGCAGCAGTAATTACAACGAGACGATTGAGGTCCGTTACTAATTGTTTCGTATCCAGTCTAGCTGCCGCGGATTTATTGGTCGGTTTGGCCGTAATGCCACCAGCTGTATTACTACAGGTATGGCTATGTTAGACTGAAGAACACATATGCTAGTATATGTGAGTGCATATGCAGCGCTCAAGGGAGGAAGAAAGAGAGAGAGTGAGTAGGAGAGAGAGAGGGAGAGATGCAACGTCTCCTCTGTTTCATCGACATTGCGTTGAGCTTAATTGGTAATCAGTGAATGGCAGGCAAGTGCCCTCATCGCATATAATTTACGTCGGTTTAACAGAACGTCATTGATATGCCGCCTCCCTAATTCTCACGTTTTTCATGAATTTATAATTAATCTATTTTGCTTAATCTCGCGAAGAAATTTAATTTTGTATTTTAAATTCAATTCTTTTTCCAATAATAATAATTGTTAATCGTGAATTATAACGATACAAATGTTATTCAATATCATTTGACCTGGTTTTATCCGATCATATATTTATTATATTCGAATAAATTTATTCGATAGCATAGATCTTTTTACATCTTTATTTTCTTTTCGTTTCGTTTCGGTTTTTTTTTTCTTTCTTTTTTTTTTTTTTATAATATCCATAGGGAAATGAAAACCGGTGATACAAACAAACAAAACCAAACAGGTATTATTAAACGTATCTCTAGTCGTTTATATAATTGAACGAACAAATATTTTTTTTACAGTCGATTGTAATTTGGTTGAACGATATTTACGATATTAATATCTAATCGAATTGTGTTCCTTCCTGCGATCCGTTTATTATCCGCGTTAATAGACAAAAATTAATATTTTTATTTTCTTTTTTTTTTTTTTTTAATTTGGCACGGTTCTTTATGATTCTTCGATCGATTTAGCATTTTCCAATTTCTACTCAAAGAATGTTTTTACCAAATTAAACACACCAATCGTGGATACCTTCACGTAAGTAATATTCTGAAACTCTCGACGATCGTTCTGCGAGGTAACGAATGATGATTTTACATTTAGATTAAAGTCAAACTGAATATAATGGAACTCATCAACGCGATCCAATCGAGATGATCTTGATAGTCGACAATTAGTTTAGGTAATTAGGACGTTCTTCGTATGCACACGAGAGAACTCTAGGGATTTTCGGACTTCCAATCCACCCACCCAATCCTTCAAATATTTTCTTTCGAAGATTCTTTTAATAAAAAGTAAACCTTGATTGGCTCAGATTATTAAATAGTTTTTCATCTGTCAAATTAAACTTATGATGATAATAATCGAGAAAAGAAAAAGCATACATTTTTTATTTTTGACTGGAAAGATTTGAGAAAATTCCTTTTAAAAAGATTCGTTACTTATTCTACTTGTGTATTTTCAAATCTCTTTCTCCCTCTTTCTCTCTCTCTCTCTCTCTCTCTCTCTTTCTATCCTTCGTTTTATTTTTTTTCGAAAACTCTATCATCAAAATTAGTCTGATAGGAAAGTATTGCATCGAACAAAGATCAAAGCTAAGTTTCTTAAAGAAGTAGTCCATCTTAGCCGCATCACGGCGAAAGTTTTACTTGTGAATAACTTTGAAATAGTTTTTTTTCTCTTCTTCTTTCTTTTTTTGTTTTTTTTTTTTTAAATTCGAGATATCTCCAGAAATATCATAGTCACAAAATACTTTCGACATTAGATGGAAAAAGGAAAAATAAAAGTATAAAACAAAATCAAAACTTTACAAAGCTTCCGGAATAGTTATTAACATATTTAATAAATGTTAAACAAACGTAATAAAATGTGCTTTTCGTCTTTCTCTCTTTTCTCTCTCTCATGTTTACAATATGTTCATGCTTCGAATACGATAACACAAATACACACATTAAGAATATTATGGATGAATACGATTACATCAAAAATATCTAAATAACATATAGCATAATGAGATGCACCAATCCGTAATAAAAATTATCAAACTTTTTATTCGTTTTATTAATTTCTGTCATGCACGATTGGGTTTTCAATGAACCGATATTTCTCTGATTCCTTATCGCGGATAAAACTCGACGGTAAATTATCGCTAAAAATAAAAATAACAAGTTAATAAGGTGAAAATGAATTTCGCGTAATCGATTTAAATTCAGCTTGTAATATCGATTATCTCGGTAGAAAGGAATATACATATTTTGATTGAATTACAAAAATATGAAGCTTTTTTACAAGGAAATAAAAAACATTAAATTTAATCGAAATATTTTATTACACTTTTATAATAATTACGAGTAACTGTTGCTGTACTAAAAAAAAGTGATATTTCTCTTCCAATGAAAGAAATATACAACAAGTTCTGAATCATAAAATGTATCGATCTTTATCAAAAGCAAGCAAGAGATTTTCCAAAAATTGAATTCAATCGATGTCATGTATTATTCCATTTCTCGATGGACAATCAAAGTATTCTTACAAATGTTCAATCCAGCCATCCAACGAGAAACTGAAATTCATCTTGACAATATCATCTTTCTCTTTCTCTCTCTATATCTCTCTCTCTTTCGCTGTATTCTATCTTTTCACATTACTATTATGTCGTATGGACAAGTTGAACGGCGCAAGTTGGGAACTGGGTGAAATCCTCTGCGATTCTTGGTTGTCCTTGGATATTCTTCTCTGCTCAGCCAGTATTCTATCGTTGTGTGCGATATCCATAGACAGGTAAGATCCCATACACGTACTAGCTAATCTTGTCACGTAAGTTTAACGAGATTATCTAGAAGTTCGTTTCTAGAGATAGTCCATGCAACGTACCCTAGATTTTCTTTCTTTTCTATTTTCTCATTTTCCCTTTTACTCACTCTACGATAAACGTCTATGATCTTCCGTCCCGTGGTTCCCTTACTCATGCCACTTTCATGGCTTTTCTCTCATTTTCCAGCATTGAAAGATACCAGACCGCAGAAAACTTAAAAGTTACTCATTAAAGAGACGAAAGCCGAGAATACTACTACCATGCTCGATTGGTTTTTCAAACTTCGAATTTAAAGTCATTTCACACATCCGCAAAAATCGAATAGTCGTTTCCATTTCGTTATACGCGCATGTGTATATCTATGTATGGTATCGTATATATTTTATCGCAGCTATATGAATACTTTATTTTCCGATATTCCCTTAAGTTTAATAATAATTTAACAGTTTGCTTTCTTCTGCGGTTATCTATCACACTTTTACTACTTTTACAAATTATTATCATCTTTTCATTGTACACTTTTTTAGAAAATTGTTTTTTCATGTTGTTCAAATTCCAATTTTAATTCGGGTGTACGGGTCTATGAGACCGATAAAAAAATTGTTAGAAAAAAGATTTGTTTGTAATTTATAGTAGATATTTTGTTGAAAATTATATTTGTTAAAGTATCACCATGTGTAACGAATAAAATAACTTTAATCGTTTCCATTCGATCTTTCTAAAATTTGAAAGAAATTATTGCAAATGAGTTAATGCGTTTGAAATCTGTCAATACTGTATATTTAATCAATAATATAACGCACTATGTTTATTTATATTTATATAAATATTTTAATAAAATCAATATATATTAAAAAATGTACAATGAAATTAATATTGGATTAATATCAGAATCATAATATTTTGTTTAATATTGATTTAAGTTTTTAGTTATAGTATTGTTGAAAAAATATGGTTGCCACGATGGCACTATTTTAATTACTTAACCAAATAAAATGCATAATTTTTTAGTTAAGTAAAGTGATTATTTGGAAAAGCTTTTGTATATACATATATACGTATATATATACTCATAAGATCTCATTACCATTTTACAAGTGTGTCATTTTGAAGGTATCTCGCGGTGACCCAACCATTAGTCTACAGCCGAAGACGGAGAAGTAAGAGATTGGCTGGTTTAATGATCGTAGCTGTCTGGATACTAGCAGGTGCGATTACGAGTCCTCCTCTTCTTGGCTGTTTTCCACGGGCAACTGATCGTGATAGCAAAAAGTGTACCTACAACATGGACTCTTCTTCCTACGTTATATTCTCCGCCTGTGGGTCTTTCTTCTTACCTATGTTAGTTATGCTTTACGTTTACGGAAGGATTTCCTGCGTTATAGCTAGTCGACATAGAAACTTGGAGACAAATGAGGCTGATAAAACTAATCGACGAACTCGAAATGCAACGGTAATAATATTCATTATTATACATTATATTTTATCATATTACTTTATCAAATCATATCTCGAGAAATATAATTAAATCGATCGTTCCGGTGATATTATTATTAAATCGTGATAGTAATTACATTTTTGTTCCCTTTTCTTCCGTAAATTTATAGAACCAATTTCTAGAATGTTAGAAATAAATTTCAACGTCCTGGAAAACATTTAATGATCGTTACTTCTCTTGACGTAGTACGTTCTTGTATTACAGGCGTTCGTTACTTCTTATTCTTCATCTTTGATATTATTTGTTGAGTCTGCTAACACGATTCTTTGCACGTCACGCGATATCTAATTGATAATTCGATTTGTTCTAGATCACGCGATATATTCGATTGACGATTCGTAATTTTTGCTTTTCTCATAATTTTCGTTTGCTAGCAATTTTCTTGAGCTAAAGAAAACCATTTTAAAAATGAAATTTACAGATATTATCTATCGGAAAAGTAATTTTAGCGATAAATATAAAAAAGAAAAAGACAAACTATTACAAACTTGATATATATGTTATCGTGAAAGACCGAAATTGGAGAATGTCAAGATTCACATGGTCGCTTATCAACACATATCAAATACGTTAGTGAAAGACCGAATATTTAGGATTATTCTTATATATTAATATTACGGATATATATCAAGCGATTATGTGAATTTTTACATTATCCAATTTTGATATTTCACGTTAACATACATATCGTCTGTGTTCAGTCAAAAATCATTAACTACACTTTCGGCCTAAAATGACTTATGTAACTTAAATTATTGAAAAATTTCGAATTTATTAGCCATGACACTATACAAACTATCAGTAGTAGCGTACGAAATCATTAACATAAACCGTACTTGATTCCTAAACTTGATTTTTCCTATTTAAAATTTGTTTGACGAACAATCACTCAAATTAACATAAATGATACTAACTTTTAATTGAACATAGATGGTACGTTATTTTGATATAGATCGAACGTACGAAAAGTATGAAGATTCGACGTTCAGAGTGTACGGTGGATGGTGATACTTGCGAAAGAACGTCAACCGAGGGTGACGTTACAAGCAGCTGCAAGAAAGTAGGTATAGTTCGAGGTCATCAACAGAGCTGCATCAACAGGGTAGCAAGAGAAACGAAAACCGCTGGCACATTGGCTGTAGTAGTGGGTGGTTTCGTGGCTTGCTGGTTACCATTCTTCATTCTCTACCTTGCTACTCCGTTCGTCCCAATGAAACTACCGGAAATCCTGATGCAGGCATTAACGTGGCTAGGTACCGACGATTATACAAATTATTGTTTCATTCTCTATCCTCGCTTATTTTATTTCTTTCTCTCTCTCTCTCTTTCTGTATTTCTCTCTGGGAGAATCCTAAATGCATATATAATCAAGCAATTCTTTTGTAAGAATATTTTTGTAAATTATTATATCGTGTTTTTTTTCTTTCATGATGTTTTCGTTTATCTCGAGAGTTTATATCTTTGATTTCTTCGCGAATTTATAGAAACATATGAACTCTCAATTTTTTGTATAGATAAATAGACGGATAAAAAGAAACCTTACGTTTAAAGGATATATTTTAGGTTTATATAAGTAAATGTATATATTATACATGTGTGTCTAGAATCACATATCTCATCGCGTTTCCCCGTATATATATATATATAGCTATACGAGATACGAATCTAGAATTCGTATATTTATCCTCGTTCCACTTACTCATCGAGAAATGCAATTTTTATCAAAATCTTTGCACGAACTACCTAGGTGGTAGAATTATATAAGAATTCCTTCGAGATTTCGGTAGGAAACGTGTATCGTGTCATTCTACGACTCGTCGGATTTCTTCTCTTCCTTCAAAAATTTTACGTTTCTCTCGATATTCTATGAAGATTGTTCGAAGAAACGCGAGAAAGTGAACTTACGTTCTGTAATCACGGCAAAACAGAAAAATAGTAAGACAAGAAAGAGAATAAAATGTATTACGTATAATTTATATATTATTATATATTACCAGCTATGTCATAAAATTTAACTTTTTTAATAAAATGTTTACGGAAACTATTTCATTTCGAGATTCTAAATAGATATGATATATATATATATATATAAAGAAAGTGAAAAAGGGGAAAGAAATAAATAGGAAATAAGAAAGAGGGAGAAAGAAAATAAGAACTTTTATATACATATATACAAAGCATACATTCATATGGATATACACAATGCATACCCAGGTCTCTATGTATATATGCATATAAAAAAAAATTGCAAGGCGCATTCGGTGGTAATATTCGTAAGAAGAAGGAAGTATTTCTTTTTGAAATACGATAAAACTTTGTTCACGTAGAACATGCTGGTGCAGGAAACGATATTATTGGCGAACTTTAATCGCCCGAAAATCAATATTTCGTAAACGATCGATTCACGGATTCATATTGTGGCTCTTTAACGATACTTCTACCTTCCTCCCACCAGATTAAAATCGAAACTTTTTCAATATGTTACGAAGAAAACAAACAAAAAAAATAAAAAATAAAAACGTAAACGTTTAGCTTTTGTTGTTGTTTCTCTCACATTTAGGTTGGATCAATTCAGCTATAAATCCATTTATCTACGCGTTTTATTCGGCCGACTTCAGGGAAGCATTCTGGAGGTTAACGTTTCGAAAGTGCTTCAAAAGTCAAACGACCTTGAATCACACCGAGCGGAAATTACCAACACCTGTGACGTTGAGGAAGAACGCATCAAGAACGTGAAGATCGATCGATTGATCATGAAATGATTGGAATAGATCTCGAAGGACGTAGTACGGGGAATACGATTTTCAATTGTGCATGATCGATATTCTTCTTCTCCTTCTCCCATCTACATTCTCCACGTCTTACGAAAGAAAAAGTACGAAGGATAAAAAAAAAAAGAAGAAAAAGAAACGTTTCGTTTCGTTTCGAGAGATGCTGCTGAAGAAGAAATCATCTAACAATGTTTCCTGTATCGAGGATAGTCTCTCCCATCGTTTGGGTATTCTGATAACGAGAAATAGAGTGAAAGAAAAATGGGTGAAGATAGATGAATAGAAAAGGGAGAGAAAGAGAGAGAGAGAGAGAGAGAGAGAGAGAGAGAGAGAGAGACACAGAGATTGGACATCTTACGTTCACTAACGAATCTTTTCACGAAGATCTAGCAATTTTGTTCTTTATATTTCTTAACAAATGTTGCTCCTAGCATAATATTCGATACTAATAGATTAATTTTAAACGTTATTAAGTTACTATATAAATTATATATTAATATTCATGTTACATATATCAATTTACGATACCGAAAAGTTCGGTACATTGCAGAATGAGAAAAGTTCCATTTACTTTCTTTGAAGATCATTTCCGTTGATCGGTCTGTCGAGCTCTATGTTTGAACCATGGTCACTTCTCAGTATTTCTCTCTCTCTCTCTCTCTCTCTCTCTCTCTCTGTGTATCTATCTCTCCTCTTCCTTGTCTAATTTTGCAGTGGATTAGAGCTTGGATTAGTAACGGTTTAACTCTGCGTTAGTATCGATTTGACCATCGGTTGTTTCTGAATTAGAGTTACATTAGGTCCTCCAGTGAAGACTTTCAAATTAGACGCTCATCGTTAAAGAAGAGAGAGAGAGAGAGAGAGAGAGAGAGAGAGAGAGAGAGAGAATGCAAGAGAGAAAGATAGATAGATAGATAGAGAGAGATAAAGACTCAAGAGGTTAGTAGTTTTCATCTCGTCGACCTAGGAAAATCGAATTCACTTCGAAAGTAACGTCAAAGCATTCGACGATATATCAAGATGCTTTTTGTCCTTTTTTTGTCTTGTTTCTTTTATCGAGAAACAGAGACAAGAAATAGGAAGAAATTTTATGAAAAAAAAAAAAACTTAATACCAATATGATTCTTTAAGAGCTCTCTCTTTATTTCTCTCTTTCTCTTTCTTTCACTCTCGTAAACATAAACTTTGATATGTTAACTCAAAACTCTTACTTTTCGATAATAAAATTGTAAGATTTATATGAAGCTTACGATAGTAGAATGTCCCGCGCTAGATTGTAATATTCGTTAATAGCGTTGAGAGATTTTGCTTAATATCAACATTGAAGGAAGAATGCATTTAAAGTTCATACATATATGTACATAAATCTATATAGAAATTTCATTAGTGCAAAGTAATTAATGTATAAGAAAAAAATAGACGAATGATCTCAAATCGGTTTTAATTTCCTATTAATTAATTTATTCTTCCCTAAATAAATTGTGAATACCCTAACAATAAGTTTCTTTATTGAAACATTCAAAAGGTATAAATTGTAAGAAATAATTCTACCTCCATCTCTATCTCTGTCTGTCTGTCTGTCTCTCTCTCTTTTTTGCTTTCTTGTTTTCTTTAAATAAAAAAAAAAAAAACGTATTATTGTCTTTTAATTTTTTTGAACGTTATTTAACATTCTATCAAAGATAAATTAAAATTGAACGCGTGTAAAGTCATACAACCGCAAAGTATTCAGCGATGTGCGATGGCAAAGAGTTAAATTAAAAAATGCGTTGTTATCGTCTAATTATTATATATGTAGATCAATTCTGCAATTCATTTTAAACGACGAGAAGATAAAATTTTCTAATGCATACGATAGTTTATAATATTCGACGAGATATATATAAATCTTTTTCTATATATACGTATCTAACTTATCGCGCTGAATATTTGTTAGAAACGAACAACGTCATCGGTATCATCTGAAAATCCTTTTAAAACGTGACCATAAAATGTCGATGCTGACAGTCCGATCTCTGACACTCATCGATGTGATGAATTGTCTTTAAAAATATATTTGTATACACAGCGAATGTGCAGAACAAACGCATTGTCAGAATTTAACGAATAAAATATTACAGTACACAACGTTCTTATCGAATTATTTATTTCTAAAGATCTAAACCTTTGTCTTATTTTCCTGTGTACCTTGTGTTCGTTATTTTATAAATTAATATTCAGCAAGAAATTATTTTAATGAAAAACAAACATCATTAAACAATGGATATGTAATTAATAAAAAGATTTGTACGAATGGTAATTTAAAGCGAGAATTTAAAATGTAGAATCCAATGAAACAATTGTGATTGAATGTAATAACCAACTGTCGGGAATTTAGATTTTATATTAATTTTACAAAATTACGTGGAACCAAAGAATACTAAAGTACACCGTAGGAACGCTGGCAAGGAACCTTAACAGCAGAAAATAATGAATAAATGCTCTTATTTGCTCACTATTTGCTCAACTTTATTTTATTAAATATTTTGTATTTATCGTTAATTAGTTGAAAATAATTATTACACTTTGAATAATTATGAAATGGCGACGTCATGAGTGAGAGATATGTTATACACATGCGCAACCACAGATTCAAGGCGCAAGCACACTTGGAAAAAAATGAAATATATCCAGCAGCGGATATATTTAAAGTTGATTTCCAAAGTAACAACCTACAAGGTAGTGAAAAGAAATAAGTTAATCGTTCATAATGTATAAACAATAGGTAAATATTTTCATTTTTTCATTTTTTTCTGCTGCTGCGGTACTATGCCAACTTTTTTATCGTGAAGTATATAGAAACTCACAAGTCCCCTTTTTTACCTACCCAGCATCATTTTTGTTACCACTAGGGCCACCATGGGAAGATAGTATGTACTTAACGCGATGACGGAACAATACTATCAAAGAATACAATATTCTTTGATAGTATATATAGTATAGTTATATTGTAAGAAAATTTAAAATAATTATATTTAATTTTTAGTGTTTAAATATGTGTGTGCCTTCAGAAATGCGTTTTTTATACATATATATTTTAAAAAGTAGAAGAAAATCAAAACGAGTAGATGATAAATCAAACGGAGATCACCTGTAACAAAAAGAAAACTATATTAATCATACAATCAAGTGATACATTGGCCTGAAATGTAAGTCGTCCAATTCTCAGATGCACTTTTCAATTGAATTCTCTATTTACTTATTTCAAATCTCTATTAACCGTTGCAATAAAATTAAATTTACACGCGTGATTTTACATTTACGTAAAATAAATTTAAAAAAAAGAAGAAATTACAAATATTAAGTTACTATAAAAAATAATATCTATTAATTATTATGAAATCCTTTTAAGCTGCATTATATAGAAAAGAAAAACTACAAATTTAATAAAATACGATCAAAATAACAAATTTTAAAGATGAAACAAGAAAAAAGAAATTACTATAATATTTACCGAACGTTATTTAAACTTCAAAATTTAATATTACGAAAATTTTAATATTTTTAATTCTAACTAACACATATGCATCTTTTGAACGATATAGACACGAATTTGGTGTCCCAAGGAGA